TCTGGCTCCCAATCCATCTTCCCACAATCTGCTCTTTCTCCCTCTGTTCCCTGTTCCCTGGCCAAGCATCTTCTCTGGAACGGCTCCATTCCAACGGAACTTTGAGAAATGAGACTCTGAAACGCAGGTCAATAATTTGAATTGCCAAGACCACAAAGAAGATTAAGACACAATCTGCCTTCAAGCAGGCCATGACAGAGTTGGAAAGAAAATGCAGACACATGAGATGATAGCTGACAATGTGATTATGAAGAGGGCTATGGGTGACCCAGGCATGTGGGCCAGTGAGGGGCAGAGGACTGGAAATTCAGGTGAGCTGGGGTCGTAGGCCAAGCTTCCGGAAGACCTGTTGGCTTGATCTATTTACCAAGAAACAGACTTTAACATGGAGATACACATTCAGGAAATGTACTGGGAATCTGCCCCTTTTGGGAGTCCTCCTGAAAGGATGGGCAGAAGGAGGGGCTGAACAGCGATGCAGTTGCAAGTTGATCTCGGTCAGAGCTGGGGAACATGGCTGGCCCTTCAGAGCTGTCCTGAATTGGGGCAGTGAGGCCTGGCCTTTGTACTTCCCACCATCAACCAACCATTGAACGTGAGCTTGCTCTGGGCTGGTTATGTGACCTTGGGCGAGAGAAGCTCAGTGGAGAGCCATCAGCAGCCAGAGTGCTAGCAACGGTGGGGTGGGCGTCTGTCCCAGAGGGTGGATCTGACTGTACTATCACAGCGTCCACCACAAGTGGGGATCCAGCTGGGTCCTGATGTATGTGGGTTGGGTTTATGTGGTTGGAGAAAACGTGGAAGCACAAGATGGTTTTTTTTTTTTTTTTTTTAAGCAAGCAGAACACTGTGGCTCTGGTGAAGTGTATGTGTAAGCAGGCAGGCAGGATATGAGCCTTGGATGAGGGCAAGGGGCTTCCTGCAGAGAACCCTGAAGGCTGGTCATGCCTGCACTTCATCACTTCCAGAACAGAACATCACATTATCAACATATTACATGACATATGTTTACACACACACACACACATATATATATATATATATATATATATATATAATTTTTCACTGATACAAATGTGGGGGGTGCAGAATATGGGGACCACTTGTAATATGAGCAAATTTGAAATTTGGTTTAAGGTCATTTTGCCACATTTGCTCAATTTGTTTCATTTCCTAACTGCTTATAGGAATACTGAAATTATATATATAATATAATATTATTATATATAATTTTTTCTTCCTTTCTGGAGTTTGACTAACACTATAAGATGAAAAATCATCAGTCTGCAAATATGGTAAAATCCTTCTGTAGAGCAACATTCAGTGTTCTGAAAGCTGATACTTCCTCATAACATGATCTCCATCTTTTCAGAAGGAAGCAAGTTGACTGGTCCATTTGTCCTTGTTTCTAAATGGATCAGAACACAGAGTAGGGACATACTATGGGAGGGCTGGCTATTGGGCCTTTGTTTATAAGGTAATTGTTGCCAAAAATGAAGGGATACATTAACTTTTCTTTTACAGGCTGAGCATTTTGCACTTTGAAATGAGAATGGGAAGAGAGAAAGCTACTGAGTGGGATGATGAATGGGTGGGCGGACAGAGCCAGGGCTGACTTCCCAAGTTCTAGATCTACTTGTTCTGTATTGGATACCTTCTAGGGTAAATCATAGGAAAATAATGCCCTTTGTCTTACTTTCAGTGTTTCCATTTGTAGAACTGGGAGATCCACTATGATTTTTTTATACAACTTATTTTGACAAGTTACTAATTTAATTAAAATATTGTGGATTATTTTGGGAAAAGTAATATAAAGATGAAAAAGAATATAAAGCAAGAATTCAGTCTTGGCAATTCAAAATCAGGTCACTAGTTGATAAGATACTGTCTTCTGCAAAGTAAATTTTTAGGGGTGGTAAATTAGCAGAGGATGCAGTAGAGAATCACGTGGTGCTGGATACCACTCCTCGGAGTTTCTATCTTAGAAGGTTTGATGGAGCTCAGAAATGTGCCTTTTAACACATGACCTGCCTAATGCTGAAGCAGATGATCTGCTGTCCACATCTAGTGTCACTACACTTAGAAAACGTTTGTCGGAACTGGGATCTGCACATGCCTATGGGATTTAGGCAGAAAATATAAATAGAGGGGCCAACCTGGTGTAAGTCAGTTAGGGCCTGGTGCAGACTGTGGCAAACTGGAAAGCACCTGTAAAGGGATCAACAGTGTCTCAGCTTTAACTGATTGTTGTCATCTGGGCATGTGAATCCAGCGTTACCAGAGAAAGTGATTTTTTTAAAACAGGTATTAGGAAGCTGGAATTTTATATGTCTCTGAATATTTGTGTTGATATCTAATTGAAAAACAAACTTAAGACACTCTATGTGATAGTTAAAATGTATCTGTTGGATTCAGTGTCTGAGTAGCCAGTTCGATGCATATGGTCTGAAGAAGGAAGGAAGAGAAGGTGCTGGGAATTGCAAGGTGAGTTTCAACACTGTTTAAGCAGAGTGGTCTTGGTTAAGTCTCTCTAGAGCAGCTGGGCTTAAACTTCTTGTACTGTGAATCATTCCAGGGGCAAAACGCAGTGAGGCCATCTAACATGTTGCTCTTTGTGATGCAAAAAATAGAGTATTTGGCATTTAACATGAATAAAAAGATTTATTGTTTTTGATTACTTCTTTAGAGGTTTTGTTTTCAGATTTGGACAGGCAACCTAATGCAGACAGTGTACCTGGGCTGGGGGGATGGGTGAGTTGGTGGGGGGCATGGGGACATGATCCTAAAGGCAGGAATTGGGTAGGAGACAATAGCAGAGGCAGAGTCTTCCTGGGTTCCTGGGACAGTAATCCTGTCTAAGGCAGCTTAAAAATCCAAGTGGAGAAATTAGAGGAGAGAAGCCAAGAAGCTGACCCAGGCAGTCGGAACCAAGAGCGGGAGCCAGCACAGGGAGAGATGCTTTGAGCTAGAGGTCAGCTCACCTCAGGGCTTTTTCTTCCTTCCTTTCATTTTTCCTTCATTTCTTTTCTTTACACAAAGCAATGGACTCTATTTGAGAAAAGAACAGTTCTGTGAGTCTCCAGGGGTCAGAGTTCCCATCTAAAATGTCACTTTGTCACTTCTGCATATACAATATTTCCATATGTCTTTTAAGCGCTATCCTCGGGGCAGAAAGATGAAATCAGCTAAACTCTCCTCACTGGAGGCTTGGCCTTTGGAATGGCTTCTGAGGATGAATATAAAGTGATATTCTTGAGCTTGCCTGCTGCATATGGCGAGAGTTCAGCTCAGTTGTACTGGTGGGAGGAGCCCAGGGGAGGGAGGTGGGATGCATTAATTGTCCCCAAACCTGACTGAGTATCACTCACAACCCTGATAAAAACACAGATCAGCCAGCATAAGCTCATGACACTGCTGGGAAGAATAACCCTTGAATATCGGGAATCTTAACACAACAAAATGGATTTCTGACTCTGCGTCCAACAAGGTTAGGGGGAGTGGCATGTGTGTGTCTGCTCGTGGTGATCACTCGGGGACTCAGGCTGATGGAGTCTCCATCTCCACGTCCTTTAGGGATGTCTGCATCAGGGGGAGGGACTGGGCAGAACCACTTCCTGGCTTTTAAGTATCTGCCTGAAAGTGGCACATGTCACTTCTGCTCACATTTCAGTGGCTACAGTACAGTCAAGTCTAACTTCAAAAGAGGCAGGAAAGTGCAGTCCCACCACACATTTACAGAATGTACAGATGGAATATTTGTGAATAATCTTAATAATTACCACAGTCCTCGAGATTCTGATTCATTATATCTTCTTCAAATCAGTCTAGTAATCTCCTGGGATTGGAAACCCCTGTCCTGTCAAGTTGATCTTTGGAGGAACTGCCCAACTGAGGGTCAAGTCCTCTTCCTGACTTCTTGCTAAGGCATCAAAAGTCGTGAGTAGGGTTGCATTCAACAGACATCCAGTCTGAAGAACCGCTTTTATTTTATTTTGTTTGTTTCTGGTTTTTTTTGGGGGGGGGAGGTTATAAGGTTTTTATTTATTTGTTTTTTAACAAGGGTACTGGGGATTGAACCCAGGACCTCATGCATGCTAAGCATGCACTCTACCACTGAGCTATATTCTCCCCTCACCCCACGGACCACTCACCCACTCTTCAAGATGAAACCAAATGGAAAGTAACTGTATTTTTTATTTCTATTAACAACAAAAGGCTTCTATAGTTTCACATTTCATTGCTTTTAAGAGCACATATATTACAAATAAAGAAATTCCACAAACTTTAAAGATTAGTATTTATCAACACTTTTGTACACATACACAAATATTTTAATATAATGGTATCTGAAATGTTATTCATATAATTTTAGCACTGTCATAAGTATTAACTAAAAAGGTTCTTTTAAAGTTGGTAAAAACCATGTATTTTACAATCTTTTATTTACATTGGAAATACGCTTAAATGTTACAAAAACATTCACTTTGACCTTTAAAATATGTGTACGAGGACTGGGTACTGAACATACTGTAACCGACAGCAAACTTATGGTTTGCTTTTGAGCTACACATTCATTGGAATTTCATAGCAAATATTCAGCTTGGCTGGATCGACGCCGCTCAAAGGAAAAAAAAAACTGTAAGAAATGTGCAAATCTGGAGGCTGGCAAAATTCTCAAGCTAGCGAAGTAAAAAAAAAATATTAACACCGTTAAAATCTTCAAATAAATTAAGTCTGTCTTTCTCTTCCCGGAGATTAGCTGCAAATTCAGAGTTCTCTTGGAGGCGCGTCTGACGCTGCAGGCTCTCTTTCTCCCTCAAACTTCTGCGCTGGGTGAGACCGAGGCTGCGGACGGAGTGGGCGTGGCCTTGCTAATGACTCGCGTGCAGGTTCGCTCCACTCCGCGCTTTGAAGGGTCGTCCCAGCACGTAATCTTGAGACGGGACAAAACAACACGACAAAACAAAATGATAACAGAGAGGTTTGTGTTAGTATCTCAAAACACAAAATTAAACCCCCAAAACAGTGATTTCTTAAAAAAAAATTCCCCACAGGGAAATCTGCAAATTTTGAAAATGCACTTATCAAGGCATATCTAAAGATTTTTTTTCCCCAGCTGCATCACAGCCATGTTGACAAGATTTGAAGTAGCTTTCCAATACTCTTCAACTATCGGATACGTATTTTTAACTGCCTGAATGAATCTTACGAATGTGTTTGAGTAATTCTGAAATTTTATTTTATCCACAAAGTTTGCAATTTGTACTGTCAAAATCTGCCAGAAAAGGGAAAGATCTGAAATCTCCTTTGAGTGTTTGCATTAATGGAAATACAAGAAAAATATACCTTGGCCTGGTTTTACTTTTGAAAATAATCTTAATATGCCTAAATGATACTCTCCCATCAGATCCATTCCAATCATGCTATGTGAACACAATCACAACAGCAAAAGCCCCCAGGCACCTCTAAAATCTCTGTGCAGATGAGACCTAATGAATATTTTAAACTTCCTGTTATGATGATTTCCCCACTAACTTCACACATTACCAAGCGTTAGCTCAACTCCTCTTCCAAGCCAGAATTGCACCACTCTGCCCCCCACCAAACAGCCAGCATCCATGAATTCTACACCACCAATACATTCTCCTTGTGATCAATGTCACAAGTTCTGCTTGAATAATTTGGCAAATAATGCATCCAAAAAAGCATCTGAAATTCTAAAACCAACATGCCTTTGGATCTCGCCCGCTTGGCACCGTAACAGAGCGGATGTGTTCTTGTTGCTGTGTTTTGATATATATATTTTGATATAATATTTGATATTATATTTGATATCCGTTACCACCATTGACTATGCGACTATGCTGTCCCCCTTCTAAATGTTGAAACAGACTCCGAATCAGCATTTCCTATTTATGTTTCATCCAGGTAGTTATACGTATTACTTTGGCCTCCATCAAAAGAGGCTTTTATGGTTTTTGGCCGTTTATAAAACAGCATGACATTCTGCTGCCCATAAAGGTAATTACTGCCTGCCTGTCACTTGAGCAACTCAAGCTACCCCAGCTCCACATCTCCATTTTACACACCAGCATCCACTTCATCCTGCTCCATCTCTCACCTCATATTAAAGGTTCTTTCACTAAGTAGTGGCTTCTGTCTTAACCTTTTAGCTAAGACTTTTCTGGACACTCTTGGAGTGAATGGCATATTTAATTCTATTTCTATCTTTCTATTTATGTCTGTCTATCCATTCAAGCTGTTTCCATTTTTACAAAGTTTAATGGTAGGATTTCTCTCTTCACTGTAATTGTGTATGTACCTGTCTCCAAAATATGTGTATGGATACATAGTCATGAGAAGGTATTCATGCGTTACAGATTATGGTTCATTCATGCATTACAAGATTATGCTCAAATTTGACTGCCCTTCCCTCCACTAGAGTCCAAACTCAAACATTACAGTCAAACGCCTTTTTATTAAAAAAAACTGAGAAAAGAAACAAACACATTTTTTAATGTTATAAATCCAAACTGAGATTAAATACCCAGTTTTAAAAAATACACTGGACTTTAAGGACCCCTATCCTTTGCTAGCTGTTTCTGATTTCAGAAAATTGTTCATTACCACCAACTCAAAACACTTATCAGTGCTTGCCGTGAAAATGGCTTATTTTGCTGTAGATGACTTACAGTTTCGCTGTGGTTAATTTAAACCTAATGACTGATATCAATCAAATAGTTCTTCCTCTAGGAGCTCTTCCACAGAGTTAGAAGTTAGTATTTTGTCCTCAGTTTAATCTAAGGTGGAAATGTAGAAAGACCATATACTAGTAAATCATTTTTAAGGAAAAAGTCGTTGAAGAAATCATGAGTGTTGTAGTCACTGTTCCACATATAAAGCCCTAGGTGACAAATCCCCACTGAAGCTCAGGACGAGGAGAAAGTTTATCTTTCCTGCCAACAGATCTATTTCTTTTACTGAATAACAAGACCTGTGCAATCCATTAGTTTCTTTTCTTTGCGTATGTTTCCAGGAAGCACAGAGTCAAATTCTGCTTCTCTTAGCAAAGGTTTTCTGGAAAAGAAATTTTTTTTCTCTCGTCTTTGTACTATTGTTTTAGCACTTTGAGGTATAATGAATCTTTGTTTTGGGTACAGATGAGCTCAGATGTATTTGAGAAGTTGATAGAGTATA